GGGGTCGCTGTGGGTCAGAGCCGACTCGCTGTCACCTACCAACAACAATTTACATATTGAATGAAATGCCCACTTAAAGGTAAACGGATAGGGAAAACAGATTCGTCTTCGGAGACTGAGCCTGGGAATGGGAAGTGACTATCATAGGTGTGAGGCGACTTTGGGGAGGCAATGACATCGTCTACAATTGGATTGTGGTGGGGGTTATGCCCAGCTGTGCATTTATTTAAAAAGGAGTTGTCAGTGGTTCCCCTTTGGCCCCTACAAGGTGAAGCATGCCTCGCAGACCATGAAGGACGTCTGTTACAAGATCCAGGACTATTCCCTTTACCCAGGAGCACGCCTTGAACCCCAACATAGCATAACAGCTGGGCTGCCACCTTACTCTTACCACGAATGCTCGGAGCCCTGGCGGCCCAGTGCCTAAGAACTGGACTGCTAGTGGACAGGTGAGTGGTTTGAGTCCCTCTGCCACTCGGCTCCTCAGGAGAAAGGTGGTAGAGTCTCCTTCCGTAAATGCCACAGCCTGCTCCATCCTACGTGTTGGACTGACTCGCCAGTTTTGGGTTTGCTTACAGCATATGGGTAGCCCCTTGGTCCTATTCAGGCTGTCTGACATCTCTCTAGTTTCTCAGCCAACACCAGCTCTCTGTTTCAATATGAAATGTACTTACTGTTGACTTCTCATTCTGGGGGGAAGACATTTGCCTGCAAGTATTTGGCTTAGAATGCATCTTCTTTATGAAGCCTGGTTGAAATTCTCCACACTAAGTAATTGTCCATTTATGTAATTGATGAGGCGGGTGGCAGCGAAAACAAACAATAGGAATATTTTGAGTAAATGGCCACATTGTGATTGAACTGCCGGGAAGTTTGTGCTCCGCTTGGCTGAGTCACCCAGCCCTCACTGGGGCCAGGCAAGGCGCACGGAGATGGTCCATCTGGACCGCCAGCTCCCCGGGGGGCGTCCTCAGCAGAGGCCTGTCCCCAGACCAAGACC